ACCGCTGTCATGCCGGGAATTCTGCACTCCTCCTCCATCTTGCTGCCAAGCATTGATTGACTACTTGGACTTTAAGGCATGGATCAGCGCACTGATGCGATTACGGTCGACGATCTCATGATACCTCAACGTATGCTTCCAAGAGAGATCACGATCTCGGTATAGCCACAGAACATAGCGAAGCTGGCGGATGGTCGGCCCCGTATCAGACATCGAAATCTGCGAGAGCTTCTCTCCCAAACGCTTCGACAAATCATCCTTTAGCCCTGAGACCGGCAACCCCTCTGTTCTTAGTCCTTCTTTCAAGCTATCACAAGTCATCAAGCTGCATGTATCACAACAAACCCTGACGACTTCAGCCGGAGTGGCACTCCTTTCTTCACTTCCTGGCGACCGCATCGCTGTAGTGATTGCTCCAAGACTGACTCTAGGACTCGGGGTTCGTTGTGACAAACTTCTTGCCCTGGGTGAAGATGATCTCTGAGACTTCATTCGGCTTTCTCCAAATACAGGTAGCGAGGGGATACTTTCAGTCGCTTCGTGGGCTGCTTCGGTCGTAGATCTCCTCGCTGCATCCTGGGCGAAGTCACCATGCTGACAGCTCGACGACCTTGTTGTAGATGGTTGTGGAACAGTCCTCTCGTACTCTTCTCTTCTACCAGACACTCTTGTCGACGTAGCTCCCCTTGTCTGATGAGCCCCACAGGTCTCTCTTCCATCATGTCCAAAACCTTCTTGCTGCAGCCTTTCGAGCTCCCTCTCGATGGCCTCGGTTGTAGCGCTTTGTAGCTTCCGAAGTCGCCGTAGTCGTCTAGCCCCTGAGCCCGGCATCCACTCATTGTACAGCTCAGTCATTGACCACTTCACACCTTCATAGATCAGCAATACTCCCAATGCCATCAGCAGAATCATCAACAAACCTGCCGTGTCCCAGTCTATCTGCAATCCTTGCGCACGTGTAGCATTCTCTGCTTCAGCTGCTTTGACAGACAACATCAGCAGACAGCAAATAATGGCTAGCAAACCCTTTGCTGAAACCTTCATGGCTGATGTAGGTTGCCGCCGTCGATGTCCTTTATCACCAATTGACCACCACTGTAGTAGTGCCTCAAGTCGCGCCGAACTCAAGGACTTCGTAAGAAGATCGGCAGGTTGCCTTTCTCCTGGGCAATGGGTTACCTCAAACAACCCGCTGGTGACTTGTTCTTGTAGCCACCCCGCCTTTATTCGCAAGTGACGGGTTCTCCACGAACTTGATCCGGTGGAGATACTCATAGCTGCCGTTGAGTCTGTTGCAATTGTCCTAGACTCCACATGCTCCCCAACATCTGCTATCATCGCCTCCGTGCTCTTTGCCGCCACTGCTCCATCCAGCAGAGCCAACAGCTCCGCCTCCGCGGTACTCAACGTAATCATGCTCTGACGGCTGCTTCTCCACGCTATTGGGACCCCTCCGTAGGTCACAACCCAGCCTCCATGCGAGCGCGATCCCTGAGGTGCATAGGATGCATCTGAAAACATGACCAGCCCTGTTGGTGACCACTTCACGACCATGCTATAGTTGATCGTCCTTTGCAAATAGCCCAGGGCCTTCTTCCCAATCTTGATTGATTGCCGCGGGTGTTTTGCGCACATAGTAGCCATCATACATGTAGTATACGCCAAATCAGGCCGGGTCCTCTGGGAAATCCACAATACCTCCCCCGTCACCTGCTGTGCGTCGCGAACTGTCCCTATATCCTCCTCCTCTGAAACACTGGGAATAGCTGCCAGCTCCTTTGTAATGGGGATGCGATCCTGACTTGTAGGGCTGACGCCATGAAGTCGTAGTAGTTCTTGAATGTATCCATACTGTCCCACCAGGATTTCTTCTGCATCTTCAGACTCACGCTGTAGCTCCATGCCAAGGAACCTGATTGGGCTTTCTGGACCCAGGAACGTGAGCTCAGACGTCTCCCAAACATCCCTGACCGCCTTTCCAAGCTCCGTGACAATCTCCCGTGGCCCACAAATCATGAAGTCGTCCACGTACACCACCACTATAGCAGCTATGTCTCCACTTGTATCAAGAACTGACCACCAGGATGTAACGACTTTGCCCTGCTTCCACTTCAACCCATGTGGAGTGTTAAGGTCCTGTAGCGTATCATCACGGAAACTTCCCCACAACATAGGAGCCTCTCTGAGGCCATATAGGGCCTTCAGCAAACCCCACAGTTCCAATTTCGCAGAGATCCCCAAGACCTCTAGTAGCCTCGGGGGTTGTGCGATCACAACCGGATCCTTGACCGATCGTCCCAGGGGTGTTCTCAGGAACGCAGCCACCACATCTAAAATGGCTATGCACCATCGATTGCGACTTGACATCGCCAGTCCTGCTCGGACAGCTTCAGCGGGAGCTGTCTCGGCATAAACCTGCGACCCATCATTCACTGCGAAATTTCCGCATATGACAAGTCTTGCCTTTCGCTTGTACCAAGTTTCCGGTTTCTGTAGGTCCGCCTTGTCATTCGGCTTTACTGTAAAAACAAACTTCGTGGGTAATCGCTGTACTCCAGGGGTATTCAACCATTTTTTCCGAGCCTCTGTCCCAGGATGTAACTTCTCAATAGCACCTTCGATGCCCGCAACCTCCTTGAGAATAGCTGGACGCCACTGCTCCAAACAGGCCGCCACTTCATCTGGGTGTACTGTATGCGTCACATCCAAAGGGCTCGTCAAACCAGCAAGTATTTTCTCAATATTTCTGGTATAGCTGACTTCAACCTTTTGTACTTGTGGACCACCGAAGTCATTCTTAAGGGCATCCGCAATCTTGACTGTACCAGGTTCTAAGTCCAAATACAACGACCAGTCTGAGTCCTCATTGCATTCCTTCGCCTGACTGTCCTCTGTAATTACAGCTGCGATTTGCGGAGATTCCTCCAATCCACCACTGCACCCATAATACTCAGGAAGCTGTGACAACGGAACAGGAAAACCATGATCGTGCAGCATCTCCAAATCACACTGATCCAACTTCCCCAGACAATTGGGTGTGTACGCAATGATCACTGTCCTCGCTCCAGTCCATCTGCACACCTCATGATATCGCTGTGGTCCAAACGAGAAACCTTCGCCTGGTAGAAGCCCACGCAGCTGGCCATACACCACCTGCTTTCCCACGTCACGCTTCTCAATAGGGCCGCACACAACATCACCTGACTTCAGCTCTATCCACAACTCACCCCCACTGTCTGGGCAAGCTACCGGCACCACATAGTTCTTTGTGTGGTAGTCATTGTTAAAGTCCTTGTGCATTGCTCTAGTTGTATTGTGCGAAACCAGTATAGACGTAAACGCAGCTTCTGGATCCACTTCCACGACGATCCTCGCCAGAACCTTGGTCAGCGCGGGGAATTCTTTTAAGCCAGTAAGCCAGCCCACTGTTCCTCCATGTCGGTAAACTCCGAACTTCCTTGCGCCGAAAAAACCCTCATCTGCGAGTCCCGTCACTAACGCCAATGCCCGGCTCATAGTCCACTCCTCGAGAACTTGCTCTGCTCCCTTTGTTGCCTGAGTGATCACGTCCGCAGAGTGAACACGTGCCTCCCTCATCTCTATCCTTTCTGGATCCATCTTTTCCGGAACTCTCCTCCTGGGCTTTGGGTTCTCCTCGCCACGAAACTCTTCTTGGGGTATTCCAGGATCAACCAAGTTTGGACGGACATGCATTGTATGTAAGAACTTCTCGGGCTCCTCCTCAGTCGCTGAAATGTACACAACATGACCATGGTGAACAATTGAGCTGAGTCCCACATATCGACCCATCACCCACTTGCTTTCCAACCCCAGCTCTCGCCGAAGTGGTCCAGCTTTATCGAACGCCTTTTTTCGTAGGTGCACCACCGCACCGAACGGAGCCGCCAAATGGGTTTTCCACCCAAGCACCTTAGCCCTCTGCTCCGCCGTCGCGGTTGCTGCTGCCATTGGCCACAGTCGCAGTGGGAGCTTAGCCGACTGGAGAAGCGTCCGAGTTCTGTCTTTGACCCATCGAACTGTAGCCTCCGCTCTGCCATTTCCTTGCGGTACACTTGGTTCTGACCAGGTTCCCAAGACTCCAAGATCACGAAGCCAGTTGCGGAAACCATGACTGAAGAACTCACCCTTGTCTGCATGAAAACGATATATCGGTAGTCCATGCGATTGTAAGTATAACACCGCATCTTGTAATGCCCGCTTTACTGTAGCACCCTTGTTGTTCGGTAAGGCCATGGCAAAGGTCAAGTAGGTCATCTCCGGTGGGACGCAGTCTCCATTCTGCATAAGAGGGTCCGGCGCATCATCCGGATCATTGCATCCATCTTCTCCATCATCAGGGGGCTCTGAGGGCTGATACTCGTCATCATCAGCCACATCCAATTTTCCATCATAGTCCTCTCCTGTAGCTCCAACGACTTCAACATGAGGAACCACATCTCTTGGTCCATCCGGCGACTCGGGGTCACCAAACAGCTCGCGCATATCCTTGTCTTGCTGCTCCGATAATGCCAGGTCCTTGCTGCTGCCCCCTTTGTTCTCCGGGCAGTCAGCTCCCGTTGTTATATCTGCTCCATCACCCACGGGTGGAAGACGACCTGCATACTGCTCAATGAACTGCCTGGGGACAACGTACTTCGCGACAAGCAAATATCGTAGATTCTTACCCATAGTCCCTTTCGAGCCTGAATCAAGTCCTGGACTTAGTGGCCCGGCCACATCCGCAGTTAACACATACGCCTCTGGATGATGAACTCGTCGGTGCTGTCGTCCAACTCCTCGAGACATAACACACGTTGCACAGTCCTTTCGGTAAGTGGCATGGTTGTCTTTAACGTGCTGCTTCCACTGCGTAGGTGACATAGCATGTAGACGTGGCACACATCGGGGATCTCTCTGCCAGAAGTTTAGCGCCACGACAATTGCTTGGACCAGTCCCGGAGCCCATACATGATCTTGATCGCTATATAGTGGAGCGGGATCATCTTCAGGTAGTCGAACTTCATCCAAAGATACCAGGGCTGTCATATTGGTGCCTATGGTTGTTCTGTTCCTTGAAGGTCCACCCATTGCACCCTGATCAAACGAGATGGTTCTTAGAGGCCCTTCACGTTGAAACGCCTTCCACATCCTCGTATCCCAGAAGCTAACCCCAGCATTCACCGTAGCGTGACCCACATAGTCTTCCCATCGAGGCCGCTGAACCTGATCCCAGAAGCGTCTAGTCTCTTCCCAGGACGCAACCGTAGGGCTCATACCAGGAACCTGCACCTCCTCCTCGGCCTGTTGCACTCGTTGCTCACGGTCACGACGCATGGCTGCAGGGATACCTTCTGGGTACTCAATCATAAAGCCCACATCTCGGTTCTTATTGACTCCAGTGCTGTTCAACTCGCGACCCACTTGGGCCACAGCAAACAACCACATCATCCGAGCAATCAGCTTCAAAGACTTCGCATCTCGATCACCACCTTTGCAGTGCTGTAGGGCTCGACCTGGTGGACCGCCCATAACCACATCCACTTTTCCTGTCTTTGCTCCCCACAGTAGCATTCGCCAAGTCTCGTCACGCAAGATATCGTGACCACCACATCGAGCCAAGTCTAGCTCGATCACTGAAGTTTCGCCTTGGTCCAGCTTGAGTACCTCCCAGTGACCAACATCTCCGGCAAAGAGATGAACCACCCATCTCTTGCTACCCATGACCTTTCGTCGCTGCGCTCGAGTAAGAAACCCATTCAACTTGAAGATGTCCCACCCATTGCGCAATCCTCCACTAGGCACCATCCCAGAAATGCACTCGCCTGGAAGGTCCTCAAAGAACGGAGCATCACGAACGGCTCGTAGACCTGACTCAAACGAACCAGTAGCCACATAGTCATAAAGATAGTGGTTCCAGTGCTTTTCCATTGCCATAGCCGAAACTCCCAGCTTGTCCCTTGTAGTCAACGTCTCATTCTTCAGCTGCTCCAACTTGCGATCCTCCAACCGAGCGATTAGAGAAAGTGCTTCCAGCTCCATCATCTGCGGACAACCACCTTCGACCTGTAGCTGCACGGGATCACCTTCTGGAGACCACAACACACACTCCCCTGGCTTCCACACCATCGTGTATCCAAGGGTTTCTATAAGCTTCCCCATCGGAACTATAGTCTGAGTTTGTGGTTCGGGAAGATCCATAGCTGTAGACGACACTCTGGGTGGCATCAGCAGAGTTCCTGCCGACGTGATGCGCATAGTGAGCTGGTGACATCCCGCAAGCTGAACTGCTACTTCCTCTGCGCTTTCCCATTCACTGGTAGATGCCGCCCTTCGTAAACTGTGAGTAGCACCACTGTCCAGAAGCGCCGTAGTAGTCTCCATCATGGAACACACTCGAATGTCCCGTAGCTTAAGCACCTTCATCTCTGGCCGAGTTTTCTCCGGAGACTGATCTCTAGATTGCTCGGTGGACTGACCCTGAACCACTTGCTGTGCAGCCTGGATAAGCGTCTCAATAGTCCACGGCGTACCTTGGACCGGATCTGCTTGAGTCGATGCCGTAGAGCTCGTTGTAGCCACCGTAGCCATAGTACTTGGGGTTGTTGGCGGCTTTCCGCCACCTTGGTCCTTCCCTGCCCCCTTGGACTGAGGCTTTCCTGCTGTGCAATCGCGCTGCCGATGCGCCTCTGACCCGCACCGCAGGCATTTTTTCGCCCGAGTCTCTTTATCCATGGAGGACATGCTATGACTGTATGTGCAGCGATCTCCTCGTCGGCATCCTGAGGCTTTTGCGAAATACTTGCATAGTTCGCCAGAACTTGTACCTCGTCCACCTGCATCACGAGCCTTGGCCTGCATTGCTCCATCCACTGCCTTGATCTTCGGTACAGGAACCGGCGATCCCATAGAGCTGGATATCATTGTTTCCAGCTCCGCTTGTAGGTGTCTTTGGTAACCCTGTACACTCTCAAGAGTGGGTTGTCCATCCAACCTGAGTGTAGTTCGTAGCATTGAGGTCCTGAATGCCGCATCGGTGGACTGGTTGATGTAGCGGTCAGTGAGGTTCATCAAGCCCTTTGCCAGCACTGAGGCGTCCGGGGGGCTCATGTTGACCGCCTGGCATCTGGATAACAACCGCGGCCAAGCCCTCACCACCTTGAGCACTTCTTCCACGGAGTCACCAGTCAAGTGATCCCTTGGATTTTGCAACCTCCGTAGCACTTCGGATCTTTCTGCAGACCCGCCTGGCTGAAACAACGTGTGTAACCGGTAGACCATTTGCACTGAGCTCTGGGACAATCGCTGCGCCACCATCTCTGTTTTCATCTCCACTGACATCGCGGCAAGCAACATGGAGGCCACACGGGCATTCAGCCTTGACCATCGTCCTTCCGACAGCTTCTCTGCTCCCTGTGGAACGACGCTCAGCCGCTCAAGTGGCGTAGATCTCAACCATCTCTCATAAGTCTGGTTTACCACATCCATCACTGAGCACCACCATACACCGCTCGCCTCACTCACATCCGCAAGCACCGAAGATGACACCTCTAGCCAGTCCTGAAAAGCCAGCGCTGCATCACAACCTCCCTTCAACTCTGGTAGCGGAGCCAAAGATGACGTCCCTGGCTTAACAAGCTCTGTGGACATGGTTGACGTAGTCCCTTTTGCTAAGGCTTGTGCTTGTAGTTCCTGAAGCTGCTGTATTCCCTTCGCCAGCACGTCTATGGTGGGTAAGCTTCCGGACTCAGCGGTTGTAGCCTTTGCAGGGGGTGTTTGACTTCTTGAACGACCAGTCCACCACGACCGAAGTAGTCCTGGTGGATCTCCAGCATCAGGATCCCTAGCCGGCACAAAGCCGGGTTGATTGTGCACTCCACTCTTGCCTTGATATACTTCATCATGATCACCTCCGGGTCCGGGAGCTGGTCTTGGTACTCCTGGCTCAAGTCGCGGAAGGGGACCCTCATCATGTGGTAGTACACGACTAGGGGGTACGCTAGGAAGTGCTGGTACTGCTGAAGCTGGCGGTTCAACGACAGGATCACCAGGTAGTAGTCCAGGATCTAGTTCCCCCGATGCCATACTCCCTAGTAACCTGGCTGTAGGTACCGCTGTAACTCCCATCCCTGTACGACCTTGGTGAAGATCCTGTAGCTGCTCTCTAGCGTAGTCCAACTCTGCTTGTAGCCGCTCATTCCGTGCCCCATACTCCCGTAATTGCTCCAACACCCCATGTAGCTGCCTCTGCACCTCTGCTTGTATCGCCTCTGCAGGAATGCTGGATGATGACGGTGGCGTTGGCACGGGCGGTATAGGCCGCGCACGGGCTGGAGATCTCAGCCTGAACGCTTGTCCCCCTTGTGGGGTTGCATAAGCTGGACTGCTTGCAGGAAAAGGACTTGGAGCTAAGTCCGCCGCCATCGTACTTTGACCATGGTTCAGAAAACTCCCTAGTCGCATCATCCACCGCGGTACTTCCATCCCTGTCATCCACGACGGGGGCACTGGAGCCCGCTGACCCGCGGTTGACCGCGGGGTTGTATATCCCAGGGGTGCAGCTTCCACCATCTGCTCCACACCACGCTGCTCCAGTGCGGGTCTTTCACCCGGCTCCAAGATCGTCGAAGCTGCCTTATACTTCGCCTGCCTTGCTCCAGTTGTGACGTCCCTCACTGAAGGTGGTTCTGCAGAGCTCCTCTCACGAACCTCCGATGCTTCCGCCAGGACCGGCGGCTCATCCCGAGTCTGCGTGCGCTGCACATCTGTACCTCCATCTCCTTGGTGCCCTTGGCTTGTATCGGCTGTCAACTCAGCCGTGCCAGTAGCAGTGGAGTCTTCTCGACCTTCCACTCCGTCGGACAAACACGCATCGTAGCGTTGGGCGCTCATAACCTGCAAATCTGCGATAGCAGACTTCTGTTGACAGCCAGCTTACGTCTTATGCCAGTGCATCCATGGCGCGCAAGCGGCTAACCTTTTTCACATCACACAAACTAAGCTTCAAGGCACAAAAGCGTCTTCACAGCTCCTAGAGTGCTGGGGTGTACAACGGTGCACTCATGTTTCGCTGCTAGCATGCCTTGCGTAACACATCTCAAGGGCTCTTTCGTAGCCAACCCTTGAAGAGATAAAACCGGCGATCGCACACCGCACTCACCGCTGTCATGCCGGGAATTCTGCAGGTTTAGGGTTTAGGGTTTAGGGTTTAGGGTTTAGGGTTTTAGGGTTTAGGGGTTTAGGGTTTAGGGGATAGGGTGTTTGCCAGAAGTGTGGTGTCGCTTGAGAGCGTCGTCCCGTTTTGGAATGATGCTCTAGAACAGGAGTGTGGTGCAATGGGTGTTTTCCTGTGTCATCCCCGAATATTGCCAGAATAAGGGTACCCCTGTTTCTTACTGTTTTGGTTTAGCAAGGGAACCCCAAAGAGAAAAAGAGCTAAAGGCTACTACCGTGGAACCTAGCTGCACATGATGATTTCTTTCGGGGGTGCCTCCTTTCTAGCACTCCCTAAACCCTAAGCCCTAAACCCCAAACCTTAAACCCTAAACCCCAAATCCTAAACCCTAAACCCCTAGAAGCAGGCCTTCACTTTGGAACACTCCTGCAAGGCACCAAACCCTAATGACTTGAAGAAGCTTGAGCAGCGAAGGTCGACGCCCTAACCCCTAAACCCTATAAGCCTCTAACCCCTGAACCCTATACCCCTAACCCCTAAACCCTAAACCCTAAACCCCTAAACCCTATAGCCCCTAACCCCTAAATCCTAAACCCCAGAACCCTAAACCCTAAACCCCAAAACCCCAAAACCCTAAACCCTAGACCCCCAAACCCGACAGGCATCGAGCCGAAAATAGAGCGGTCTGCAGGGCTTTTCGGTGATAGTTGTATCAGGATGAAACCCTACCCTTACCCTCAAAGGGCTCATTGTTTAAGGCTTTTGGGCGCAAAGACCCTATTATACAAGGCTGTTTTGATGCTAAAGGCTAGGATTATAGGTTCTAGTCTTGGAATAATAGACCTTGGATTTTTTGTCGCCACGGCAATCCCAAGCGACCTGGTATACAGACGTGAGTAATGAGACTGCGGTTCCCCATGTCTCTCGAACGGTTTAGGGTTTAGGGTTTAGGGTTTAGGGTTTAGGGTTTAGGGTTCTGTGCCCAAAGCGTCCCTACACATGCTTTCATCAGGAGCACCAGACATTACGAGCCTTTTTCCACCCTCATGTCTGCTATGTAGGTATGTAACTTAATATAGGGGCCTTATAATTAAAAGTGACCTATATCTACTATTTTGGGGCTATAATTATAGTATAATGGCCAAAACCCTAGTCTAATTATTAAGGCCCCTACGTTAGGTGCCTGCCACCCTTGGGATTGAAACAAAGCAGGATACCAACATTTATGACGCCTTCGATCCAGAAACGGACGCCTGGCACAGGTTTTTTGCTAGCAGGAACCCTAAACCCTAAACCCTAAACCCTAAACCCTAAACCCTAAACCCTGAACTGGGCTTCAGGATCCACCCCAGTTTCGGGTTTAGGGTTTGCCGAGCTTTGGAGTACCATACTTTAATACTTTTTTGGGGACCTGTTCCTTAAAGGAACCATTATGAAATAAAAGTCTATACTTTGTTCTCCCTGGTTACTTCAAAGCCCAGTTTAGGGGTTTAGAGTCTGAAAGCCAAAACTGCCGAGTGAAGAAGTTGCGATTCTGCTTGACCCAGCGCCTGCCATCTCAACCCTACACGATGCATATGCAAGACGAAGCACTAAGCGGAGGGTGTTCGGGTCTAAGATTTGTGTTTTAGGGCTTTCTTGATAGATGGCTTGCCTAAACCCTTAACCTTAAGTGCTGACTTTGGAACTTTCGATTCCTTTGAAGCAGATCTTGGAGGGAAGGGGGCTGGGGGAGGGGCTTCAAGGAGTCTCGCCACGGTTTAGGGTTTAGGGCTTATAGGGTTTATAGGGTTTATAGGGTTTATAGGGTTCATAGGGTTTATAGGGTTTATAGGGTTTCTAGGGTTTAGGGTTCATAGGGTTTATAGGGCTTATAGGGTTTATAGGGTTTAGGGTTCATAGGGTTTATAGGGTTTATAGGGTTTGGGGTTTAGGGTTTGGGTTTATAGGGTTTATAGGGTTTATGGAACACGAATGTAACAAGTGGAGTGCCCTTGAAGCAAGACTCCCCAAATAGGAAGCCGTGATGTCATGTAGGAAACCTAGGTGCACGTCGTACCCTGGGTTTAGGGTTTAGGGTTTAGGGTTTAGGGTTTAGTGAGACTCCACAATCCTGCATATTATTCTGGAGATGCTCCACTACATCCTGAGCCTTCTACAGCCTAATTAGCTCAAACCCCAAACCTTATAAACCCCTAAACCCGAAACCTTAAGCCAAAGCAAGAGGCCTTCTGGATTTCGATTTCGAGGAATATTTCTTCGGTAAGGCGTTCGGGTCTCTCAGCAAACCTCGATCCACCCAGGACCCGGCGCACAACATTTGCGGCGCCAGCCTCACCTGCTAAGAGGTCTCAAAAGGATTTAGGGTTTAAGGTTTCAGGCGGGTGTTTGGATGGGTTTAGGGTTTAGGGTTTAGGGCTTAGGGTTTAAATGTTTCGTAGGGTTCTGGCTTCAGCAGTTTCAGGATCAGGGGGCCCCGTACGCATGACCCAAGAGTGCTTCAGCCCCAATTTGGGTACTAAACCCCTAAACCCTAAACCC